GTCCACTTTCATTTAAAGGAATTATTCATAGGTATGTAGTTATTGCCATATTATTGTTTTCTGATTGTTTTTGTAATTCTGTTTCTTATAATCTTGTTCTCTTATATGTTGATTACCTTCTAAAATGTCATGTTTGGATTTATTTTTCTTTATTTCTAGTATATCTCTTGCAGATTTTTGGTTTGTTATCATGTGCTTCATATATAAGTTGATGATTACTTAAGTTCAAAGACTTTGTACAATCACTACAATTTTTACTCACCTCCACATTTATGTTTTTAATTTTTATATGTATCCCTTAACTTAGTGCTATAATTATATATGCCTTTTAACCTTTGTATGATCTTTATAGTTGGCTGATCCACTGCTTTTTTCTAAGTATCCACCTTTGACAGTGAGAACTTTTTTCTGTCCTATATTTTCTTATTCATATTTCTGATCTTCTCTACTGAAAGAAGTCCTTGTAATATTACTTGCAATGCTGGTTTCGTGGTGATGCTCTCCTTCACCTTTATCTTGTTTTGGAAAACTATCTCTCCTTTGATTCTAAATGATAGCCTTTCCAGGTAGAATAATTTTGGTTGTAGATCTTTTCTTTAATTACTTTAAATATTTTGTGCTAATCCCTTCTGGCCTGTAATGTGTCTTTTGAAAAATTAGCTGACAGTCTAATGGGAGCTTCTTTGCAAGTAACTAACTGCTTTTTCTTGCTATTTTTCAGGTTCTCTTTTTGTCTTTAACCTTTGGCATTTTAATTATAATGTGTCTTGGTATGGGCCTATTTGGGTTCATCTTCTTCGGGACTCTGCATTTCCTGGCCTTATTTTTCTATTTCCTTTACCAGGTTAGGGAAGTTTCCAGTCATTATTTTTTTAAATAGATTTTTCAATCTTTCTTTCTCTCTCTCTCCTTTTGGTATCCCTATGATGTTGTGTCAGTGGTCCCTTAAAATATCCTTTTTTTTTTTCTTTTTTTGCTGCTGCTGCTTTGATTGGGTGTTTTCTGGTACCTTGTCACTGATTCAATTATATGCTTCATTTAATTTGTTGTTGAGTCCCTCTAATATATTCTTCATTTCAGTTATTATAGTCTTCATTTTGGACTAGTTCTTTTTATGGCTTCTATCTCTTTGTTGAGGGTCTTACTAAGTTCATCTACTCTTCCTCTCCATTCATTGAGCAACTTATAACCAGTGTTTCAATCTCTGTATCTGGGAGATTGCTTATCTCTATTTCATTTTGTTCTTTTTCTGCAGTTTTGTCCTTTTCTTTCATTTGGCATGTTTCTTTGTCTCCTCATTTTGGCTGACACCCTGTGTGTGTTTCTTTGGATTGGGTAGATATGTTACATCTCTCGGCCTTGGCAGAGTCACCTGTGATGCCCAGTAGCATATTGTCCTATTCACCTGAGCCAAGTGCTCCAGGTGCTCACTTGTGTGTGTCCCCTCCCATTGTAATTTAGCCTGGCTTGCTACTGGCACTTCAGTGGGTGGGACTGATCTTCATACTGACAGGTTGTGTAGGCTAAAAATGACTACAGTGGACAAGCTGTTGTACAGGGGCTGATCCCATGGACAAAGTTTGTCCTTTGGCTATGTCTTTTGTGGAGCTGGTTGGGTGGTACTGTAGTGTGGTCTGAAGCTGGCCACCTGATACGTTGGTTTTACTACTTCTGAGAAGGGGCTCTTGTGCAGGCCAAAGTCAGCTGCCATTTGTGGCCAGGTTGGGGCCACCAGTGGGAGCTACCAGTTAGTTGCTGATCTGCAATTGGTTGCTGCTATGGAAGACGCTATGCTGTGAAACAAGTCTGGCTGCAACTTGTGCAAAGCCTGGAATCCTTCAGTGGTCACCCTGGGGCCATCCAGTACTGGCCATAGCTTATGCTGGGCTTGGGGCCACTTAGCAAGCAGTATAGGGCATGCTGAGGTTGGCAGCTGCTTGTTTGGGGTTTGTGGTCCTTTCAGAAAAGTCCATATCATTAGCCAAGGAAGGCTACTCCTCTGGCAAAGCCACAGGAAGCAGCCTGAGCCAGGTGCAGCAGTTGGGTGGGGTGGAGTCTCAGGGAGTCACTTTGGTGGGGCAAACAATACTAGCCAGGTTATTGGAGACCTCATATTTGACACTTGCAAGCTCGACTGGGGCGGGGTTGGGGGTACTCAACAAAGGAGTAATTGTGCTTATACTGCTTTAGTCCCTAGACTGCCCTGACCACTACCCCTCCGCTCTCACCCTAAGTTGGTTAATTCAGGTCGTCCCCCTATGTTGCTGGCACTTTTCAAGCTGCTGCGTCTGTGCTGGAGCCCGTAACAAGTGAGTATGTGCACAAGTGAGACCATGTGGTAGCCCTTCAGGAGCAATGCCTAGGACTCCGGAAACCCTCAATCTCACTCAAATGCAATCCCTGCTTACTTTTGTAGCCAAATCACATTGCCCTTCCCCTTCCTAGCTTTGATACCCCAGGATATGGAGCCCACTATAGGGCCGGGACACCTTGCTTCTCATGGGGGACCTCTACAACTGGAATATATCTCCTAATTCTTAATTGCCACACTGTGGGGTAGAACTTGCCCATTCCACACCTCATTATGGTTTCTTCTTTATATCCTTAGTTAAAGGACTTCTGTTCTCAATGACAGTTGTTCTATAACTTAGTTGTGGGACAAGGCAATCCACCATCTTGATTGGAAGTTCCTCAAAACTTTGCTTCTTAATAACCTCATGGGATTTATCTAGACTGTTTTGTGAGCTAAACTAACATTCATAATTGCACATTTTTTTGCCCAGGCATTTGGAATGCCATGATGTTCCTTTAGTCAAATGTGTCTAAGTAGCTTCATTTTCATCAGCAATGCTTTTCTGGACTTAAAAAATAAGACAATAATTTACTTTGTACCTAAGCAGCTCCTTCTTTCATGCCCTCTTGTTTTATATGTGGTTATTTTTCCTTTTTAAATGAGAATCGTAGACTCTCAGAATTGGAAGAATGTTAAGAGTAATTTAATCCAAACATCTACTGTTGTATAAATCTCCTCTACAATATCTTTAATGAGGTTCTTCATTAACAGCCATTCTCTAGGGCAAAAGAGATGAAAAAAATAGGAAGTGTAACCCCTCTTGTTTTATTACATTATGAAGAATCTGTGACATAGGAACAAAATTTTAAGTTGGACCACTGAGAATATGGCCCAGCTGGGAGAGAATCAACATTTATAAAACAATTTACTATGAGAATTTAGACCATATTATCTTGACCTTTTTATTTCTATGATCAAATATGTTAAAAGCTATTTTAAAGGTCTACCTCATAGGAAAAGAACTATAGGAAACTTCTATCACTATTACTTAATAAGTTAACGTGTATAAACTACAGATTAAGAAATTAGGTCTAGAATGAGATTGTGTGGCTTGAATCCTGTCTTCTGCATTAATTAGCTTTGTGACCTTGGAAAGTCACTGAACCTTTTAAAGTTTTGATTTATCCATATGTAAAAAGAAGATATTCTCTTCTTCACTGAGCTATTAAGAGAAGTAAATGAGCTAATTCACATTAAACTCTTTGTTCAGTATATGGAATATGTTTTAAGTATCAAAAAATGTTAGCTTTTTCATATCCACTAAAGTAATAAAAACATAAAAATTTAGTTGTAAAGAAATATTTTTTAAAAAAATTGTTTTAGGATCTCAAACATTCAATGAATTTCTATGTGTGCTATTTTGGACTATGAACTCAGTGTTAAGAAAGTATATATTCATTCTGTAAATAGGTCATAAGGAAACTTTATATAGCCAGATGTTTTTAATACATCAATGTGGATTATATTATATGCTAACTAACTGAATAATACAATCATTTTAATTAACTTATCATGTATTCTGTGGATTTTGGAATGGTGTACCTGCATTTAGTTGAAAACTTAGAGTCACAAACAATTTGACAATATATAAAGTTATTTATGATATGGAAAACTTGGTTACTTCTGTGTATGAACAATCATTTCTTGGTAGACTGAATTATATACTGATGGGATTATAAAATAATCCTTTTGAATTTGTCCAGGAAGGTTTTTTAAAAACAGCTTTTGCCAAACAATATCAAAAATTAACCAGTATCTAGTTTTATATTATCTTTTTTCTTTTTTAATAAAACATCCCCTTATACCATTATTCTGTTCTAGCCCCCAATTATTCACTTCTAATCAAGTATCTGTTTTCCCCTTACAGCAAAAAGCAAAACGAGAGAACTTTCAATAGATGAGTCTACAAAGAAAAGAATTTAAAGTCTTCATGTCCAGGATATCCTTTGAGGTAATTAGGAAGTTAAAGAATAATGCTATTTTTCATTTGTCTCCCATTTCTCAGAAGTCAGTCATTGCAAGCTGAAACTCATCGTTTCGAGAGTAATCTTTTCATATTGACCCATGGAATATACCATGCTAATGTGAGCACTTAACCAATTATTTATGGTAACATCAACTAAATAGGTCCATGTAAAGATTTATATTCTATTAGAAAACTGTTTATTGATCAAGAAGTCAGGAAGATAAAAATAATTACTTTTATAAAAATGAATGAATCTTAGTTGGCAAATTTTATTGAATATATATATATATATATATGTAAAATAAAATCTTTTTACTTTAAAAATCTATTTAGATTACTACCCATGAGAAGAATAAGGGAATAAGGAATTGGGTCTCCTTCTCAGCATTTTTAATATGTCCCCTTGGGAGTTTCCCATTACTGCCAGTATCTCCTGAAGGAACAGTGTTTGTTTATTAGATAACATTAGATAACATGACAGTTGATGGCAATCTATAGATGTTATTCTGAATGAAGTAAAAATGTGCTATGAAAAAAATGAAGTAGGGAGAAAACGGAAAAAAGTGTACTAGGGAAAACTATACTCTAATTCTATAACCACCACTTAAAGGTGTCATTGCAGACATACCATGCTTTGTTAATTCAGAGACAGTTTGCTCTCCAGGCTGGCTGTCCACTTACCCTAGTTGTTTTTACTTTATTCCCAGAAGAACAGCTCCATCCTTTCCGATCTGGAAGAACTTTACATTCCTCTCCCTCAAGACATGGCTGCATGTGGCACCACCATTTCTGTTCCACTATTGAAGCTACAGGAAATAGAAAAGTTGTTTAGAATTTTCCATTTGGGTTTAATTTTCTGGGTGCACATTTAAAGAAAAACAAAGCCACAAATTTTTCCCACCACTGAGTAGGCTAGGTTTTGAGGCCTGCTTTCTTTTTGTCCAAAGGGGCTAAATCTAGATTTTCTGAATATAATAATTATTTTAATTCTTAATTGTACTTCATTGTGGTAACAATAATCTACATGAGATCTACACTATTAAGTTTTTTAATGTGCAATATAGTATTGTAAACTATAAAGCACATCGTTAAAGGATTTTTCATGTGAATATATAGGCTTCATGAAAGTTCATATTTGAAAGACACTATGAGTATATATGCATGCACTGATTTACATAAACATGTAAGAAAATAAGTCCCTGAACAATTTAGAGTAAATATTTTAGAATAAATGTTATATTTCCCACAGTAGGCTGAAAAACAGGATGGCATTAGAGTTAATGCATTTTTTTTTTACTGTGACAGTAACCATCATCACAAGAAATGTACCATGCTAATATGAGCATTTAAATTATTATTTATGGTAACATCAATTAAATGGTCCATATAAAGGCATATCCTATTGTAATTAGGGGAATACTCAAGTAAAAAAAATTAATATTTTGATGCCATATTTACAATAACCAGCATTTTATGTAAATTCTATTCACAAACATTCTCTCATATATATGGTGTTTATTTTTTTCATTCTTAAGATCCATCCATGGGTTTAGAAATTCAAACTATTTAATCATCTATTTCCTTCTTTTCTTTCCCAATTAATTTATATACACACATCCTCAGCTAACAAGTCAATATTTCATGGTATCAAAGTAAGAAGCACATAGGCTTGTTTGAACCTCATTATATGTCTTTTGTTACTAAACTGCATGAGATCTCTAGGCCTCCTTCCAAGTGACCTCATATCAACCTCATAGTTTATACTGAGGTCCCTCAGAATTGGCCCCAGTCAACAGCATTATGGTGGGGTTCCAGTTCTTCGCAGTCCCCATCTATACTACTGCCATGAGCAATGTAAAAGTCTCACCATCCACACAAGATGGGGCAGCTCGCGTGGTGCCTGCCACCTGCCCAGGGAAGCAGGAGCACTTGACAGTTTGTGACCGTTCTTCTATCTTGTTCTTATTACAGCATCTGTGGAGAGCCACCACCTCGCAAGTGCCCGTTTTGACATGGTGAGCTGTACAAACAAAAACAAAAGATGAGACAATATTGAGAAAGCATTGGACACTTCGTCCCTCTTTTTAATTTAGAAGTACATTAAATATAGCTCTATAAGGGACCTGCCATGCATGAAACTAGAAATACAATGATGCTGACTCCATAATGCAGATTTTATTTCTTTGCTAAATGTGGCAGGACCATTTCTGTCAGTAAATGCTTGGTGAAGCAGGAGCAATTAGTGACTAGGTTAAAATAAGCTGTTAGAAGAGTCTGAAATATAGAGGCAATATTTGGTGCCATCAAAAACCTATTTATTCATATGTGACTTCTTTTTACATCTTTTCAACATGTTAATCAAAGTAAGTTAAGTTAAATCCCCCAACAAGGTACACTACAAAGGGTTGATATAAAGGTTATGTTCTTCCGGGGGTGAGCGTAAGGTTAGGCAGAATACCAATTTTCAAGCAGGGATGATGAAGGGGGAATTCCCCAACCTTGGTATTCATCTGCTCAGTTTCCCTGGAAATAAACTAATTGGTTGATTCTTGAAATTGCTATTATTTTCCCAAAAGTTTCAGCCAGTTTCAGGACCCAAATATCAAACCTTCCAATTGTGCCCAAGGGGACAACTGCCACCAAATGGCACCATGTACAGCCAGAACTTGAGTGGATTTATACCTTGCCTAGAGACCCAGCCCCAAAGCTGTGAGGTTCCCTGCCCATTTTGTTCGTAGCCTTGCAAGAAGGCTACGAAGGTGAAATTTTGGGTGGTTAAAATTTTTGAACCTGACTTATCACATTATGATAAGGTTCTAGTTTGCTGTCACCATTATTTTTTCAGCATTTCTTCAAAGTATTAACCCTACTGTGAAATGAAAAAGCAAAAGTTTCATTTGCTAAAAATAAAAATAGCTTTGAATCAAACATTTGTTGAAACACTATACTTTCAGAAATTTCAAAACAGCGATTGCTATGAAAACATAAATCTAAATAGAAAAAAGTAGAGATCTGAAGTTTTTTAATGCTATAAATATATCAAGACCCATTGTAAATGAAATCAGCACATTATGCATTTCTATTATCTTCCCCTGGGAGATGAGGAACCACTTTGCATTAACTCAGGTTAGCTAGCTTGTTTAGATTTTTCTTGTGAGAGAGAGCATATCACTCATATTATCCAACTCATTCTTCCATGTGAATCCAAGAAACTCAGGTGTGACCTATAGTTTTGACATGTAATCCTCAAAAGAACTTTCAGGAAGCAAATACCATTTTCAAGGTCACAAAGATTTTTCTGTGTTTGAGTTAAACACAAAGCTATCACTACAAAAGCTAAAGACTTTTAAAAGCCAGACCTTTGTTCCTATCCTCTCATCATACTCTGGAAAATACTCTATCTAAAGACGATTGCATTTGTTTTAATTTATTGGATGTTCTGTGTTATACAAGTCATTACCCTGCTTCTGCAGGGTACTTAGTCACATTTTAAATGAGTTAATACCACACGTGAGGCATAATTCTGAGTCCTGGGGCTGCACCAGTGAAAAAGACGGACATAGACCCTGTCCTCAAAGAGATCATATTCCCCTGGAGAAAACAAATAATAAATACCTAAGCTAATGATTCTGTAGGACAGTATTAGGTTTTTAAGCACCTTAAAGGAAATGTAGCATGTGTATTGAGAGTAATTAAGCGCAGATAGTATCTGTATCTTAGCAAGAGTCTCAAGGAAGACCTCCCTCAGGAGGTACCTAAATGAGGACCGCAGTGAGGAAGCTCCCATTATGAAGACCTAAGGAAGGAAGCGCATTCCAAAAGGAAGCAGCAGCAATGACAAGGTACTGAAATGGGGAAAAGCATGGCATGTTCCTAGAACAGCAAGATGACCAGTGTGGATGCACGGTTGAGGGAAGTATGTCTGGAATGGAGAAAGATCATGTGGGGGCTAGTCTGCCACAGTAAGGAGGTGGGATTTTATTTTTATTGCAAGGGAAAGTGTCTAAGTAGAAATGGTATGATCTCATCAATGCTTTAGAAGTTTGCTCAGGCTGCTCTTAAGAGAGAGGACTGAAGAAAGCAGAAATGGAATCAGGGAAACCAACTATAAAGAGATTGCTAGAGTTTAAGTGATAAAAGATGGAACTTGGACTAAACAAACAGCAGCAGACTTGCAGAGAAGTAGCAGGTTAGGAGTATTTCAGTATAGAGTTAGTTTGACTTGCTAAGGAATAGAATGTGAGCTGTGAAGGAAAAAAGAAATTAGGATTACTTCTAAATTTGCCCTGAGCAATTAGAGGTTGGTGGTACTGGTAGACAGAAAAATCTTGGGGAAAAGGGAATTTGACAAAAGATGGTTTGGGCTAGAATATCTGTAGTTCTCTTTTGTCTGCGTTAAATGTGAGATCCTTTTAAAAGACTCAAGTAGAGATATAAATCAGGCAACATCATTTATGAAATAGAGCTTCGGGAAGAAATCTGGGCTGCAGATACACCCTAGGGAGATCTAAACCAACAGGTGATATTTCAAGCCATGGACTAAACAAAATTGCCATGGAAAGGTTACCAAAAAGGAAAGAAAAGAATGTCCAAAACCTGTATCTGCAAAGATGCAAAGAGAAAAGAAAAAAAAAGATGAGCAACACATGAGGTATGAGAGAAAGAACCCCAAATAAAGACATGGAAAAGCAAAGAATAAAATGTTTCAAGAAGGAAGGATTGATCAGCTATGTCAAAAGCTGCTGAAAGTTTCAATAAATAAAGATAAATTATAATCCTTTAAAGTAATATGATACAGTGGTTAAGAGCATAGACTTCAAAACCAGGGTAGTTGGGTTCAAATCTAAGCTCCTCCCAGCAGTGGTGTGACATTGGGCAAGTTACCTAATACCTCTGAGTAGCAGTTTTTCATGTCTAAAAGAGGGATAAAAACAACACTGTCTTTCTTCATAGGGCTGCTTTGAGAATTAAATGCTTGTCATATATAAAATAGCTAGAACACTTCCTGCCTCTTAGAAAGCACTCCGTGTTAGCCTTTACCATCGCTAGCATTTGAACTTAGCAAAAATCTTTTTTCAGTGGCCTGATGAACATAAGCACAATTGAAGTATGTTTAGTACAGAAAAGGATGTAAAACTACAGACAATTATAAAAATTTCTTTCATGGAGTTTTTCTTTGAAGGGAAGAAGGAAACAGATGTCATGAAAGCATGCTTACTTGCTAGACTGATCTGGTAGAGAAATACTCAATATAGGAGAAAAAATGGGTAATTGAAAAAAATGTTTTTAAGAAGGAAAAAGGAATTGAGATTATGGCACCAGAGGGGCTGGCATTGGATTGATGTGGGAACACTTAATCCATTTTACCCAGAGTTAAGGGCGATATACAGATACAGAGGCAGGTAGATGCGAGTGGATCAGTTTCTTATCTGATTTTATCTATTTTTTTCTATGAAATATGAGAGATGTGTGAGAGTAGATGAAGTAATATCTCAGGGAGAGGAAAAGTAAATTTGCCAAGAAGGAGTGGCAGATGGTCTGGCCCAGAGCAGGCTGATGAGGTACTCTGTGAAGTGCAGGGGACACAGTGGAGTGGAAGACAGGTGGACTTAGAGTAGAATGGGGACAAACATCTCCGTGGTGATTCATTATTTGGGATGCTTAGATTTTTTTTATGGTGATTTAGGGAAACAGAGATGTTTATCATGAGGAGATTAATCCTGCAAGTCTTTTAACGTCAGTCAGGCTAAAGCTGAGGCGTTGTTAGGGCTCCTTCAGACAGTGAAGCTGTTAGGCAGAGCCCTGAGCTGAGATATCGTTGGAGAGAGTCTGACGGGGGACAGGGCTTTGTGGTCTTCCTCAGGCAGCCAGGAGCACACTGAGAAAAAGGCATCATTTCAGCACCAAGGCTATTTTACCAACTTTGTTATAAGGAAGAGTTTATCATACATTGGAAAAGAATTACAGGCTAAAACACTTTATCTGATTTTTTGTCCCAATGCCAACATCAAAAATTTGACTTTGACAAGAAAAATAAGAGGATAAAGTCATTGTGGCAGTCATTAATACTACTCATCAAATACTTATAGTTCTCTCCTTTCTGGGGACATGGTAGTACTGTATTTCTTCACCCCATTAAATATAGATGCAGTGATGTGACTTGCTTAGGCCAATGAAATGAAAGGTAAGTAATATGAATCACTTATGAGGAGAAGCAAACAATATCAGCCTATGTGGACAACTAATCTATAGTAAAGAAAGCAAGACTATGCAGTGGGGTGAAGACAGTCTCTTCAATAAATAGTGTTGGGAAAATAAATGAAAGCACACCATTTTCTTACATCATATGCAAAAATACATGTAAAATAGATTAAAACTTAAGTGTAAGACCTTGAAACATATCCTCCTAGAAGAAAACACAGGCAGTAAATTTTTTGAGATTGCCCTTAGAAATTTTTTTAAAATATATCTCTTCAGCCAAGGGAAAAAAGAATAATAATTGGGACTACATAAAACTAAAAAGTTTTCACATAGTGAAGGAAATCATCAGCAAAAGAAAAAAACAACCCACTGAATTGGAGAACATTTTCACCAATGTATCATTGATAAGGGGGTAATATTTGATATATAAAAAGTCATATAACTTAACACTAAAAAACACAAACAATCTGAATAAAAAATAGGTAGAGGACTTGAATAGACATTTCTCCCAAGAAGACATACAGATGGCTAAAAGATATATGAAAATATGCTCAGCATCACTAATCATCAAAGAAATGCAAATCAATACCACAATGACATTTCACCTCACACTTATAAGATGGCTATCATCAATAAAACAACAAACAAGTGTTGGCAAGGATGTGGAGATAAGGGAACCCCTATGCACTACTGGTGGAATTGTAAATTGGAACTGTAGAGAGCTTCCTCAAAAAACTAAAAAGAAAAATAGAATTGCCTTATGACCTAGCTATCCAGCTTCTGGGTGTTTATCCAAAGAAATCCAAAATGCTATTTTGA